CACAACCAAACCATTATGTTACTTTAAATAATAAGATGCTGTATATTGAATTTGATGTTCGAACTCTTAACATTTAGAAGAAGTTCTTGAACAAATGGACTGGCAGACACTCTCACAAACTCTCAAATATATAATAGATTGTTGTGGGACATAAAGCTATCAGAATCTAGTGACTGAGCTTTAGCTGTGCATGAGTAGGAAGCATAAATAACTGTTTCAGATCAGTTGTGTAAGTGGTTGATACTGCAGTGGTAACTGACAGATGTTATTTATGATAATTTCCAAAACAAAATATATAACAGACTCACATTTCAGAAATTTTTTTTGAAAGTTCTTCAGAGCAAGATGGGTTTACATCAGATTTATGAGCTAATTGTTTCTAATCAGCCAAACAGTTCTCCACCAAATTAAAAGAGAATATATTAAGTATGAATTATCTTAATAGTCATCCCCCCATGTACATGTACTTCCTAAGCAGACACCAGATCATGCATTTTAACAGACCCCTGATAGCATATTTTTGAATGTCAGACCAAGAATAATGATTAACATAAGAATGCCAGTTACTTGCGTTGTCACTCTAGTGGCACTTTCAGAATCAGCAGTGTATTTAGAAGCAGAACATTTAATTGCGGAATATTTGCAACTCTTGTTTCAAGCTAGCAGTTTTTTTCTTATTAGTAATAACCACATTCAATGGAAGAAAAAATCTATTGTGGCAATAGAAGGCTTTTGCAGTCACTTTAACCTCGATAGCTTTATTTTGCTTGTTAAAGAGTGTGATTAGAGCCAAATATACTCATTCCCTCTTTCTTTACACAGAAAACCTTGAAGAACCATCTCAGTTTTTTTAACATTCGTTCATTTTTCTAGCAATAATGGGCCTTGTCATATTAAACATATTGAACAGCTCACATACTTAGAATTTTTATTAGAAGAGAATAAGTTAGCCTCATTGTGGTGTCTTTATTTTGATTAACCTTTTCCCATTAAGTCTCCCCACAAGCTAGAAAATTATTTTGGGCTGCAGTTAGGCATCAGCTTCATGTTGGTTTGTTTTGCATGAAACTGAGATGTGCTTCTTGATGGTCTTATGATTTGTAGTGCTTGCTTTGGGATCTGACTGTTTTCCTGTTCTGGTCCTATTGCTGGAGGAAAAGATTAGGCCAGTCTGAGGATGATAATGTAGTAATAAAGACAGAGAGCGGATAGCTGCTGATTTCTAATGCCATCTCTGATAGATCTTTGACCATGCATAGTCAGTTACAGAAATGGACAGCAAGGAAAAATACAAAACAGTAACCCAGTCAGTAAAAAATCTTTCTTACATAAAAAAAAAAAAATTCTAGGCTTAATTCTAAGAGCTCGTCAGTTCCCATTTTGCAGAAGGAAGGTTTGCTTTCCCGATATTAAAAAAAAAAAAAAATGGCCCTGTAACTTAGACAAGCCCCTCCTTACTTACAGGGAACAAGTTTCTTAATTTCATTAATAGCCTGCCTTTATTTCATATGTAACATCCAAAACTTACTAGAAGCTATGAAAATCAGCAGCACAACTCATCCCCAAAATGCTTATAGTTGAGGAGGCCCAACCTGTGTCATCTGCTGAAATTAGTATTATCTGTGTCTCATCTCCATTCCAAACGGGTATTAGCAATCTCCTGTCTTAGTAGATACTAGGAATGTAAATGTGTATCTGGGCTCATCACATGTTTAGATAGTGATCTAGCAAGCAGATTCAGGCCCATGCAAACCTGCTTATCATTACCTAAATTAGGGAAGAGCAGAGCCTCTTGCAGTGCAAATGATGGCGGTAGCATTTCAGTAATGGCTCTACTGCAACTTGTGGGGGATTCTTTCCTGAGTCCTCTCCCCCCCCATTCTTGATTGCTCCAGAAACTCCTCTAGCAAATGAGTCTAGTAGTTGACTACCTGATAAGCCTAAGTAGTCAAGTTACTATTTGACTAGTTGCTTCTCCTACTCTCCTCAGAGGCAGCAAGGGGGGGCTTAAAAACTGGTGCCCTTCAGCACCATCTCTGTGGGGGAAAGGGGCAGGGAATGGAGAAGCACAGTGGGGGACTGGGTGTGTGCCAGGACTCAGCTATCCTGGCTCGTGCACGGTACCATATGCTCTGCCTCTGCTTTTTAAATGTAGTAAGAGCTGCCAAGCTCTAAATACATTTAAAAGGCAAAGGCACAATGGGGGACTGGGTGCGAGCCAGGACAGTTGAGACTAGGCTTGCGCCCAGTCCCCACTGCAGATCTGCTTTTTAAATGTAGTAAGAGCCACTTGGCTCTTACTACATTTAAAAGGCAAGGCCTCAGCAGGATTAATTCTTGGAGCCAGGAGCTAACCACGCAGCAGCTCTGCAGTTTCCCTTCTTATCAACTGATTGAGTAGTCCAGTATTTCTCAACCTTTTTTTTTGGTATAAAGTACCCCTTTTCTAAAAAAAAATTGTAAGTACCCCCAGTACCTACAGTTTTCAGACACAAACTTTTTTTCTACCATTGCAACACATTTATTTAAACAACTTAATTGTAGCCAGCTGGGCGATGAAATTTCTGGGTGTAAAAAGTATAAAAATAATAAAGCGCTGTAAAACTTAAAACAGAAACTCAGTTTTCTCCAAATTTCAGTTGTGTTGATGGTATCCCCGTCCCCCGCCAGACTTCGCTCAAGTACTCCTAAGGGTACACGTACCACTGGTTGAGAAACACTGGAGTACTCAATGAAAAGTCCATCAGCTACTCGATTAACTGATTAAACACAATTTAACATCCTTAATCCATGGGTAACCGTGCAGATACAGAGGCAGCAGCGTGGGTAGGGGGAGGTGTGTGTGCTCCTGGACCTGGCACAAACTAGAACTGATCTGGAGTGTGTGCCTGCCTAGCTCCTAATACACTTTAAATGCAGAGCTGAAGTGGGGGCAGGTCCCAGACCTTGTGGAAACCAGGACTAAGCCGGGCTGCCTGCCTGCCTGGCTCCTAATACATTTTAAATGCAGAGCTACAGCAGGAGTAGGTCTGAGACCCCAGGGTAGGTCTGAGACTGAGCCAGGCTGCTGGCCAGCCTGCTAAAAAATTTACTGGTGGGGGAAGGGGGAACGTGTAGTCTCTCTAGCATTAACCTATAAAGTTTTTGCTTATCTGTTAATCAACTATACTATTACATCCTTAGGCCATTCCAGACCTCACACCATCTCCATTAATATCAAAGAGTGTGTCTCTTGACAAATTACTAAATTCTTGGAGTGGCCCCCTATTAAAAATTATTGCCCATTCTTGCCCTAAAAGCTGTTTAACCAGTTGAATGGCCAGTTGACATTGTATCTCTGTATGGCTACTTGAGAGAGGATGTTGAGCCTTTAGGAGCTTTGGAAGAAGCTTTCTAGTATTGCTTTGGAAGAAGCTTTTTATTATTAAAGTTAATGAGCATATTGGTTTAGATTTTTTTCTGTACATTTAAGAAAAATTCTTCTATCTGCAGAATTTTCTGTTCTGTTTATAGCTAAATATTCTCTGAAATAAATAAAATATTCCTTCATATTGAGTCTGCTAAAATAAGTGTCTAGAGTAGTGAAGCAACCTAATGTAATAGTCCTCAAAACATGCTGCTACAATCAAGAGCTCAGAAAAACTATCCATCTTTGTTCTCTAGAAGCATTCTCTTCCCTCTGTGCCCCATTTCCAAGGTACAGCTTGACTTTTCGCTTTCAGAAGATATCATACAAAAATGAACTGGAAAATACAATTATTTAATACATGAGAATCCAAATAATTTATGAAAAATATTTGTCTAAAGCAACATGAATTTTTAAGTATTACAGTAAGTGAAATGTGTAGTGAGTGACATCAGGAATGCAATGCTATTGCATTCCCTGTTTGTGATCACATTGGGATCCAATTGTCTAAATGGGTAACTTTCTATCTAAAAATGTTTAGGTTCTATTCATAATATTAGACTATTTTGAAATTACAGATGTTCAGCTTAGATAGTAACTGATCTTTAGTGGTACTTGATGATATGCATATTGCAATATGTGAAATAAGCCACCTGCACTGAAGACCATTGTAAGATAGAATGTTACATTGGAAAGTTCATTTTTTAAATCAACTTAAATTTCCTATCTGTTTTGATTAGTGATAAAAATCTCATTAAATTGGTTGATTGATTAAATGTTATGTTTAACCAGTTAATTGATTAAAAGGGGAGTGGGAGGGGACCCGCTCCTGACAGGATGCGTTGGAGTGCCTCCCAGCCCGTGGTGGGTCGACTGGAGCAGCCCTCTGCCTGTGGGGCAGGTAGGGAGCTACTCCAGCCCTCACCAGTTAACCGTAAGTGGTGAGCTTCACCTGTTAAGGATGAGTCTTAGCAGTTAACCATTCACATCCCTATGGTATTGTTTATATATTTTTAAAAAGCCCTTTGAAAAAAAGTGTGTACATTTGTGGGTTTTAGTAAACTTGATGTTTTAAGCAAGTAAGTACAGTAATTCCTCATTTAACACTATAGATATGATTCAGAAAATGATCGTGTTAAGTGAAAACGTGTTATGCGGGGTCAATTTTCCCATTGAAAATAATGGAAAAGGTGGGGGTTGCGTTTCAAGCAGTGCTGTCTGCTGGGACTGGGACATAAGGTTGGGGGAGAAAGGGGACTGAGTTACAGCAGGGAGGGGAGGTGTTTGGTTCTGGGGAAGGGAAAGGGAGGAGAGGGGAGGGGGATTGGGTTGGGAGTATGCCCCTGTGACGGGTCTGCCGGGACCCGCACTGCATCCAGTGAGGGGGAGTCAGCAGGGAACAGCGCGGCGAGTGGCAAACCCTCTGCTGCTTTGCACATATAGATAAACCTCTTTGTATTCATTTAAACGTACAAAATAGGATAATTGGGTTCTCCCCCATATTTTCTTTACAATATCAGACCATGTAAATATCTAGCTTTTTAAAAAAAACTTCTGCTTAAACCTTTTGCCCTCATTCTCTTTTGTTCCACAGTAAACAACCAGACTTTCACTTCCTTCAGCCAATAAAATATTTGATTCTTAGACACAAGATACCAGTTCCTCTTTGCTGTAGCCTGACTGCCTCTGTACTAGTTGCAGCTTCCACTCTTCTGAAACTGGATTGTGATGTGAGGACACAAGTTGGTAAGTAAGGCACCATTAGGTTTAGGTGACACTGTATTTTGAGAAACTTAAAAAACAAATGGTCTGGTAGCACTTTACAGATTAACAAAACATGTAGATGGTATCATGAGCTTTCATGAGCACAGCCCACTTCTTCAGATGACCGGAGTTTTATTTTGAAAGTTATGTTTGTAAAAAATTCTCTCATGAACTAGGTTAATCTTGAGTCAATCGGCAGCCTTTTCCACTAACTCCGCTTCCCCCAGCTCTTCAGAAAAAGCTGTGTGCTGTAACGTCTTGATTGTCATAAAAATGTGTATTAACTGCTACTAAAGAGTAGTAAAATGCTTTAAAAACAATACTGATAACTATACAATCCCCTCCCCTTGGGAAGGGTGCTCAGGCACAAGGAGGTAGGGTTGCTATTCGACAGTACAACAAAAATTGTCTGGGAGGTTCAGGGCAGGGAGCTGGGGGGTGTAAGGTGCTGGAGTCAGGGTGGGAGGTTGGGATGTGTGTGGTAGAGTACAGCGAAGTGGGGAACCTTTTGTGGGCTGCTGACCCACAGAAAAGTTAGGTGGAGCCACATATACTTCACACACAAACGAGAAGGAAAAAATAAAAAACAAAACCTTCAAACCCTCGCTGATGTGGCTCCTGACTGAGAAGGGGAAAGACACTCCTCACATTACCCTTGCTCACTTGTGAGATCCAAACTAGTAGAATTTGTGTGCTCCATCCTTGTGGATGGGCGACTAGAGTGCCATTGCGGGCTCCCCACTACTGGCGGGGGGCGGGAGGGGGTGGGAAGCCCTGAGCCTAGAGGTTCCCCATCTCTGGAGTAGAAGATGGCCTAGGGCAATCCCAGTTGCTGCTGGGTTATCTTTACATTGCTGGTGGACAGGTCCTTGCCTTGCTGCTCCTGTTGGCTGCACTGCCACAATGGAACTGGGAGGCCGCTGTTTGGAGGCACTGCTGCAGGGAAACAGCAGACTCCCTTCTCAGGGCTTCTTCCCAGGAAGAGCACACGTCATGAAAACAAAGCTCCCTGTTCAGCATCTAGCAAGAGAGTGGTAGCAGGACAAATGTAGATGCACCAGGAGCCAAACTGTGGGTGTGCAGGCCATATCTGGTTCGGGCCATATTTTGCCCAGCCCTGTTAAATGCATGTCCTTGAGAAATCAAGTTTAAAAAAAAATCAACATTCCAGAAGATTCAACCAGCCAAATTCAAGCCTGTAGATATCTCTACTCACATATATCTCTGTAATTTAAATATCTGTAAAAGGTGTGCTCATAGCTCTGCTTTTGATGGTAAAAATGAAATAGTGTGAATTGATGTGGAAAAATATGGCTTCTTTTGAAATTTAAAACATGGAAAATCAGGAGTGATGTTAACAATGTGCTATAAAATAAGACTGAATTTAAAATTGACATGTGTATCAGGAAATGAAAGTAATTATTTCTTCAACCACATTCTTGCATTTGTAAAATCTTTAAATTTTATTTTTAGTACAACACACTTCAGTCGCTGCTTATCGGGGCAAAATAAATTAATCATTCAGAATTGTTACAGAGTTTGAATTTTTTTTTTAAGTACTGTCTCTGTAATCTGAAAATTTTCATGCCAGGAAAGTATCAGAGGGGTAGCCGTGTTAGTCTGAATCTGCAAAAGCGACGAGGAGTCCTGTGGCACCTTATAGACTAACTGAAGTGTAGGAGCATAAGCTTTCGTGGGCAAAGACCCACTTCGTCAGATGCATGGTCATGGTCTAGTTTTATTACCAGACAGGTTTCCAAGGGGGCAATGCAGAAAATATTTGAAAGTTCTTATGAGACTCTGGCCTGTAAAGAATATTTGTCATGCTTCTAAACATGGGCAGAATGGTAAAGTTACTGGAAATGCTGGAAACAGTCTGTTCCTACTCTATTAAATATATATTCAGTTTCCACTGATATGCCCTCCTTTTTATTTAGATCACTTCTTTCCTCCCCAGTTTTTAATGGGTAGCTCTGTAAAAAAAAAATAGAAAGTTTTTAGTTTCTGAACAAAAACCTTGTCATATACAACATGGGCATGCTTCTCTACATTTGCTTTTTAAAGAAAAAACCTTGACAAGAATGACTTGCCAGATTTGTTGGTGCAGTCTAAAGAGCATCATTATTGCACTGTCCTGAAAATGAGTAGAAAATTTTGACATAAATCCTTTGTCTTCCCTGCTTTGGCTGGAAACATAGTGCTCTACGTACAGCTCTTAGGGTATATCAGTATTCTCCTGTCACTTATTTCTTTGCCAAAGCTTTGAATTGAACTTCTGTTTAAGAAACACATGAAACGACAGTTGTGAGGGCAAACCATCTATTAAGACAAACATACCATTGAAATCCTCTTTATTTCAACATAGAATTCTGTTACTGACAAATTCCCGAATGGATGAAAGGTTGTGCTTCTTGAAATTGCAATGCAATATCATCCTTCATTGCATCTATTTTTTTCCCAGGCTGTTGCAGTATGATCTTGCATTAACCCTTTTGGAAGAAGAAAGACTTCATCAACCATTACCTATGTGCATCCTTTTCTTGAAGTTTGATCCTCGTCCAGTATCAAAAAATGCATACAGGTAAGCATAATTGTATTTAAAGTATCAAACTAAGATTGTAAAGAAAAGTGTATTTCTTTTACTCTAACCCTGGGGAATAATGCCCAGTATCAAATCTGAGACTAGTGCTTCAATTTGTGCTGGCATAATGCCTTTACTCCTTGGTGTTTATATTTCTCTTAAGTGTAAAACATCAGTCTGATCTGAGCCAATGGAATTTAGAAATACCACATTTGAATTTATAACCCAGTGGATCAGGTATCCATTTGCAGTTGAGTGAACTGCAGACGGTTGAGTAAGACTCCAGCCTATAACCTCTAAAAGTCTAGAATTTTAGCTGAATACCTGAACCACATGGCCACCACATCTCACTACTACTGTATTTCTGTTTTATTGATGCATACTGTGTTGGTTCCACTGAACACTAAATTGTGCATATCAGTTCTTAGAACACAAAAACCTATATCGAGGTGGGCAGTAATTTCTGATTGGGGGAGGGAGGTCTCCATAAGTGGTCAAGAGCTGCACTCTTCCATAATATTAATAGAGGAGGTGCGGAGTCTGGGATGGAGATTGGGTGCAGAAGGTAGCTGGGGTAATGGTTCAGGGTATAGGAAGGGGTTTGGGTGAAGGAGGGAATTGTGACTTGGGGGCAGGAGACTGGGGTGCAACATAAAGATATTAATGTTAAATTGGTTAATTGGTAAACCTCACTCATTGAGAGTGAGGCTTATCAGTTTAGGTTAACCAGTAGGGGCTGAAGCAGTTCCCCAGTTGCTATGGGCAGGGGGCTGCTGCAACCCCACAGTAGACCTGTTGCAGATAGGGACTGCTCTGATCAGGCTGTAGAGTGCCAGACCTGCTGAAAGCAGGGGCTGCTCTGGCATCCCAGACACAGCTGGGACACTGGAGCAGTTTCTGCCTTCAGTCAGCGACTGCTCTTTCCTGGTGGGTGCAGCTTCTGCCTACAGCTGAGAGGGGTGACTCCAGCCCAGTGGTGGGTGAGCGTGTTGCCCCGATGGTTCCCCCCTTTAACTGGTTAATTGGTTAAACAATATGTTTAACTGATTAGCCAATAAACATGATTTTACATCACTGGTGTAGGAGAGGGGTGCGGGCTCCAGGAGGAGGTATGGGTGCAGAAGAGGATTCTGACTTGGAGGAGGAGTGCGAGGGGGAGCGCAGGGCCTGAGATGGGATTGTGACCTAGAGTGTAGGAGGGGGGTGCAGGGTCTGGGAAGGGGGGCAGAGTGTTGGAGAAGAGAGGGCCTGGGGTACCAGAGGTAGATTCTGGCTGGGAGGCTCTTGGCTGGCTCCTGGCCAGCAGCCCAGCAGGTTTCTCAGCCAGGGTCCTGCCTTCTATGACCCTGCATGGGCTGCAGGCACCCTGTGTAGCTCTGAACACTGTGACCATGGACGGGGAAGGGTTCTGGCCAATGGTAACTGCAAGAATATGCTGGGGATAAGAGGCAGCACGTAAAGCCTTTCCTCAGTCCCTCTGGGCTCACAGCATTCAGAGGGCTGCTCTGAGTATGATGTGTGGCTGGTGCAGGCAAGGAGGCTGGCTGAAGCTCCCAAGTGTAGCTGCATCTCATTAATCTCTGTATTAATCATTTTCTCATTGAAATTTTTACTTTAACTTTGTAAGAAGTCCTTTCAGCATTGTAATATGTCTTTAGCTTTGTATTAAGTCCTTTTATATAGAAACTTTGTATTAAGTCTTTTTACATAGAAACCTTGTAGACTTTGTACCCCCTTTTACTCAATTGATTGTCCCGTTGAGTGAATGAGGTGTGAATGGATAAGGTATGAAAGACAAGCACCTCTGGTCACCTGCAAAGGTTGGAGAGGGGTGGAAGTCCGATCCAAGAACAATGGAACCTGTGAAGCGGGCTCATTGAAAGAAGACCAGACATATGGACACCTTGGGAGTCAGTTGCAAATGCCTGCTTTTGGAAGCACCCCCTTTGAGGGAGAATGTGGCAGCACCCAAAAGAAGGTGCCACAGATGCTTAACTGCATATAATGACTCTCACAGACCATTAAGAAAGGCAAGGTGATGACTAATTGGCTGCATGAGAGGGACAAATATGAGGCATCTTGCAGAGGGACCCCAGGTTTTCGTCTTGTCAACATGGGAGCATCGATCCGGACCGGCAGAAGCACGGCTCCACCCCTCCCCCCCCTAACTCACCTGGCCAGTGCAGTTAGGGAGAGCAACTATTGGTAACAACAAGATGGGGTGGGTGGGTGGTTGGGTGTGGGGGGGTGTGTGTGGGGGTGTGTGTGTGTGTGAGATATATCATATGCATATGGCAAGTGGTGATTGCTGTGTGTATGTATTACCAATAAATGTGGCATTTTGCCTTTTTCCCCTGAAAAGATCCCATGCAGCACTTTTAAATACAACAACAGGCTGGATCCAGTGGCTTGGCTGGCCGGGCCCACCTCTGACCTATATGGAACTTTTTACTGTCTGTAGAGTCAAATACTGGACAAATAATCTTAGACTTGTATTAATTTCTCTTCCCTTTTTGTGTTGTAAAGAAAATGACCATAGCTCCAAAACATCCTTTTTGTAGTGGTTGTATGTTTACATTTTTTTGGTAAAACAACAGCATTAGATCAATTAAAAGGCTTAACTTGTCTTTTTTATTCTTTATATTGTCTTAATACTTTTTTAAAAGCTGAAATCAAAATACTCCTTGCCAATGTCATTCTCTTGCAAACAAATAATTTTCCTTTTCTTCTGTGTTCTGAATGAAATAAAATGCACTTTTTATAACTTATTTTCTATGCCAAATCACTTTTTCTGTACATTAATATAATTGATAGCAGTAATGATTTGTACAGTCAGAAAGGGAACAGAATTTTTTTTTTTTTTTTTTTTTTTTTTTTTTGCAATTCACTGCTTTTTAGTTTCAGAGATAGGATGGTAGCTCAAAATATGTTTTCTTTTTCAACTTATAATCAGGATCAAATCATTAGCTAGCCAGAGGGTATTCTGGAGTTTGTCCATATTTGTTCAGGTGATAGAAGTGATGTGCAGGCATGGTGGGGTATAATATTGAAATTGTAATGGTGTTGCCTGTTTTTATGTATTAACACAGGACTTCTTTCTGTGTGCTTGCTGATCTTGCACCATTTTCAAGCAATAAATACATTTTAAAAGCAATTTAAAGGAGAAAACTTTTTTTTTAAACTCAAATTGCAAAATAAATGGCATAAGCAGCCAAGGTCAGGCTTATGTTCTGACCATAACTTGCCATATTGTGTCTAGTGCAGACATTACATGTAAAAATACTTTTCTCATCCTGAAGTAATTTAGTGTAAATGCTTGGTGTAAATGCTTGATCTCCTCACTTTTTTTGACCTCTGTCTTTTATTGCTAGACTATTCAAATGCTGAAAAAGATCTATGAGGACTTGTCAGGATTCTTCCAAGAGGATCATGTAATATTTTGTTTAGATGCTTTTGATTACAACATCTTCGGAAACTGCATAATAGATACAGCGAGGCCAGCAGATTTGTCAGACCTTTGGGCATGGTTGGGGGTAGGGCACATACCCCTGCCTCAGGGGGCAGAGCCTCCAGCGGAAGGAGCGGGACTTGAGCTAACTTCCCCAAGGCAGCCTCAGCACTACCCAGAGCATGATGCGCTTACCCCAGGTAGCCCTCAGTGCTGCTGGGCGTGTGCTGCATGGGACTCTGCATGGTGGTAATTTAAAGGACCCAGGGCAGTGGCTGCAAATCGTAGGCCATTTTTAATTGCTGGGCACTGTAGCAGTTGTCCCTTTTCTCTCCTCCTTCTTCACTGATGCGCATGAGTAGATACATTCAAAAAGTATGATATGCATGAATCTTTCGATTGTTCTAAGCATTTCAGATGACAAATCTTAACCTATGAAAACTGGGGTTTGTAATCTCTGCCCACTGAAATTTTAATTTGTCTCTAGCATGCTGCAGTAGTTAACAATAATCTTATCTGTTCTAGAACACATGGCTATGTTTCTGTTTGGATCACTTATAAAAATACTCGCAGTGGAAATTTTAGCACTTTGTTGGAGGACTGTTTGAAATGGATCTCCTCAATGGATCATATCAAAAGATTACAGTATCTGGAATGTTAAATGACCAGAACTTTCACTTATCTCAAATGCACATTAGTTCTTGCCATGTTTAAAAAAATTATTTAAGAAAGCTATTTTTCTGTTCTCTGAAAAAGTGTACTGTCAAGATTTCCTTCCTAACATTTGGTGAATTAGTCACAGACCCAGCCAGGCCCACCATGTTGTTGTGTTTGGACCCATATGCTGATCTTTTGGGGGACACTTTTTATCTCTAGTTTAAAAGATGTACTGCATCTGGTTTAATAGAAATAAAAGGCTGAGCAGACCTGTTGGATTGACCTGTTAATAGCCTTACTCTGGCTATGGGGGGAAATGATATGCAGTTCTCATTCTCAAGTAATAGGTGCTAATGCTGTGTGTGCTGAATTGGTGGAGCTCTCATGAGGGTAAAATGTTGAGTGCCCAGCATCCACCAGCCACAGTTGTTTGGTGGTGCCTCAGTCAGCTTTTTGATGGCTCAGGGAGGAGCTCGGGGAGGGTAGAGAACAGCGAGGAGGGGTTGGGCAGGGGCCTCTGGGAAGGAGCAGAGCAGAGATAGGAAGAGGTGGGGCAATAGCTTGAGAGAGGGTGGAATGTGGGCAGGACTCTGAAGGAAGAGTGGAGTGGGAACAGAATATCCTTGGGGGAAAATAAAAGTAATCACCTATGTATTCACTATTACTCTTGGGAGAATTTTACATTCTAATAACTTCATTTATGGATCTGTTTGCTGACAGCTTTCCTTAGCACTACATTAAGCACAGAGCCTAATGTGGATCTTTGTCACACACTGTTTGATCTCTGCTCTGTTTTGTGCTCAGAACTTGCTGATCTGCCATGAAGGACATGATCTCTTCTATGCCTCTTCTTTGTCTGCAATCTTTTTATATCCAAGCTACTTTGTTCTTTTAG